TGCATAAGGAAATTTTGAATGTATTATGAACTTTATTGACTTAATAAATTAGAAAACATTTTAAATTCTCAGTTCAATATATAAATGATTACAAGCAATTAATAATATAAAACTTTATTATATATCTATGGATTTTTTTTTTTTTTAAACTCAAAAAATGAAAAAACTTAAAGTTATAAATTCTATGCTCTATATTTTATTTATATTCTTACAACAACAAAAAAAAAAGAAAAAAAATTAAATCGATAACATATCCTATCTTCAAATCATTCAACTCTTCATATAGTTAGTTATCTTTTTGTCTTTTAAAAACTACTCAAATCTCTAGAGAATGATGATAACATTATTTTTTATCATCATTTAAACATATTATACAAAATATCTATTCTCGATAATGCTAATTAAAAATTCTCGATAATGCTAATTAAAAAAGTAGGATACTACAAGGAAAATATTCCAATAAAGCATACAATGTATAGAATACATAAACTATAAAACAAAAAGCAAATATTAATTATTGATTGATTAAAAAAAAATCCCATTTCTACCTTTGGTATTTTTTTCTATTTTTGTGCTATTCACTTGTTCAACTACCAAAAAATTCAAATAATAATTTTCCTTCTGAAAAAAAAAACAAAAAAAACACAAAAAATTTGGACAAGAGGAGAGATTAGTTTTCAAAAAAGTACTGAAAAACTGATTAATATCAAAACGAATAAGAAAACAAAAAAGGAAATTTCTTTTTTCTCGTATAATTTTTCAATTTCACTTTATTTAAATTTTAATGTAACAATTAATGCTTACCAAATGAAAAATTTTATAAGCATTCTAAATTGAATTATAAATCAACATGTTCGTTTAATAATTTTACAATATCCTCTTCTATATCATTAGGTTGCACTGTAGGAGCATATCGTTCTACCTATAATAAGCAAATTTTATAATTTTTTTACTTTCATATAACAAAAACAATTAAACAGTTAAATTTAAAAAAATAAAAACTAAAATATTACCAAAAAATATTACATAGTAAATAAATTTGTAATAAAATTTACCACTTTTCCATGCCTATCAATAAGAAATTTAGTAAAATTCCATTTAATAGCATCTATTAGTGTGCCACCTTTTTGATTCTTTAAAAATGTATACAATGGATGTTCCTCTGGTTCATTAACATTAATTTTAGCATATAAATCAGGCTCAAAATTGAAGATTTCCTTTACAAAACGTTTAATTTCCATTTCATTTCCAGGTTCCTATAAATATTTATCATTTTTTTTCAAAAATTAATTTTAACCTATTATTAACTTATTATTAATTATCTTAATAATAAATCCAATTATTAATTGTTTTTTATTAATCTATTAATTAATTTCCACATGTTTTTTTTTTTCTTTTTTTCTTAAAAAAATGCCGTTTCTTTATTGTTTTTTTTTTTTCGTTTAAAATAACAAAATAGACTTAATTGTACTTCAAATTCAAAAAAAAAAATTGATGAATATACCTGTGAAGCAAATTGATTACAAGGAAAAGCAGCTATTGCTAAACCTTGTTCCTTGTATTTATCATGCAAATTTTTCAACTGTGCATAATTTGAATGAGTAAGACCACATTGAGATGCTACATTTACTATTAAAACCACTTTATTCCTATAAACATATAATTTAAACAGCATAATAATCATTAATCAACAATAAATTTTAGTATTCCTATCAAACATAGATAATTGATTTTAAATGATAGCTGATAATTTTTGCTTAGTTTCAAGAAGAAGATTGAAAAAAACACCAATAATTGATTTTAAATGATAGCTGATAATTTTTACTTAGTTTCAAGAAGAAGATTGAAAAAGACACCAATAATTGATTTTAAATGATAGCTGATAATTTTTACTTAGTTTCAAGAAGAAGATTGAAAAAGACACCAATAATTGATTTTAAATGATAGCTGATAATTTTACTTAGTTTCGAAGAAGATTGAAAAAGACACAATAATTGATTTTAAATGATAGCTGATAATTTTTGCTTAGTTTCAAGAAGAAGATTGAAAAAAACACCAATAATTGATTTTAAATGATAGCTGATAATTTTACTTAGTTTCAAGAAGATTGAAAAGACACCAATAATTGATTTTAAATGATAGCTGATAATTTTTACTTAGTTTCAAGAAGAAGATTGAAAAAGACACCTGAACACTTTTTTCTTTTTTTAAAGGTCAATTCTAAATTACTTTTTTTTAAATGAATAAATGGTTTGGATGCACACACATTTTTAAAGATATTAATCTTATTCGTCATTAAATATCAATTTTAAATTACTTTTTTTTAAATGAATAAATGGTTTGTATATATATAATAATAAATAATAATAATAATAATAAACCTATATCGATTCAACGACACTTCTGCACCATTGATATCACGAACTTGAAATTGATATATCGTATTTAATGAATCTTCTTTAGCTACAAATACAGTGTAAATTACAAATGTTTCTAATTCATCGTAGAAATCATATATGTATTTATTCACAAGAATTGTTAATTTATAAATTGAATTTTAGTTTACTGAATTACTATGCTACTTGTGATATATATAATTGGATAATCAACTTTAATAAATTATATCATATATTGTAGTGGAGTTCCTACTTCTTTTTCCACATGATTTAAATCTATGCATACAGTAATAATAATTAATAATAATAATAATAAAAGTAGTTAATAATTAATAATAATAATAATAATAATAACTAATAAATAATAATAATAACAGTAATTATTAATAATAATAATAATAATGGTTGATAATAATAAGTAATAATAATAATAATAAATAATAGAAATAATAGTGAAGATAATAATAAGTAATATAGTAGTCATAATAATAGTGAAAGATAATAATAATAATGATAATAATAATAAATAATAATAATAATAAGTAATAGAAATAGTAGTGAATAAAAATAATAATAATAAAAATAATTAATAATAATAATAATAAGTAATAGAAATAGTAGTCATAATAATAGTGAAGATAATAATAATAATAATAACAATAATAATAATAATAATTAATAATAAATAATAAACAAACCTTGGTATGACATAACAAATAGCGCTAAAACTAATAGCTGAAGACTCATTTTGATTCCACTCAAACACATCAATTTTTTCCAATCCGGAAATGAACCCATCGTTTTATGCTATCGTTTCCAGGAATATATTCTTCTAGAAATTTATCATCAGATTATTGATTATCTTTTATGAAATGTATAAATAATAGAGGAATGCTTAATACTAATTACATGCCTATTATTAAATATACCTATCTGTCGAAGTAAAGTTTAATTACTAGGAAGAAAGTAAATTAATTTTGGATGAGAAGAAAGCATTTTCATTACGTTATTTTTCTTCCTATATTGATCGAATTTTAATCGATATCCTATCAGCAAAAATAGGGGAAAAATGATACAATTACGAATGCTATTAAATTTAAAAAAAAAAAATAAATAAATAAATAAATAAAAATAAACATTGTATATTGTTTATTGAATCGATGAACTTACCCAAAAAAAAATAAATAAATAAATAAATAAATAAATAAAAATAAACATTGTATATTGTTTATTGAATCGATGAACTTACCAAAAAAAAAAAAAATAAATAAATAAATAAAAACACATTAGGAAGAAATACATATGATTAATATCATAGCATTGCTAAAGTGCAATAATTAATCATAACATTATTGCAATTTACAATTCTCTTATTATTATTTTTTTTTTTTCAATGATGTCATTACATAATTTTAAACGGAATAAGAAAATACAAATAAACAAAATTACATTATTTAGCACAGCAAAACTTATTCTAATTAATACAAAATAAGGCATCTTAATTTATTGTAAATTAGTCATTCTCGATATACAAAATCATTCTCGATATACAAAATAAAGCATCTTAATTTATTGTAAATTAGTCATTCTCGAAATACAAAATCATTCTCGATATACAAAATAAGGCATCTTAATTTATTGTAAATTAGTCATTCTCGATATACAAAATCATTCTCGATATACAAAATAAGGCATCTTAATTTATTGTAAATTAGTCATTCTCGATATACAAAATAATTCTCGATATACAAAATAAGGCATCTTAATTTATTGTAAATTAGTCATTCTCGATATACAAAATAAGGCATCTTAATTTATTGTAAATTAGTCATTCTCGATATACAAAATCATTCTCGATATACAAAATAAGGCATCTTAATTTATTGTAAATTAGTCATTCTCGATATACAAAATCATTCTCGATATACAAAATAAGGCATCTTAATTTATTGTAAATTAGTCATTCTCGATATACAAAATCATTCTCGATATACAAAATAAGGCATCTTAATTTATTGCAAATTAGTCATTCTCGATATACAAAATCATTCTCGATATACAAAATAAGGCATCTTAATTTATTGTAAATTAGTCATTCTCGATATACAAAATCATTCTCGATATACAAAATACATAACCTAATACCATCACCGCTACTACTTATCACATGTAAAAAAGATCACATAACCAAATGCATAATGATAAATGAATAAGATAGATGTATCTTAGATGTTGAAAGAAGGTATAAACATACAAAAAAAGATCACCAGAAAGACACCCGCTAATCAGATATATCATAGGATTAAAAGTAAATACAATAAAGTGGGAAAGAATAGTTGCATATCAAATTAATTCATGTAAATTTTTTAAACTAACAATGATTAATTGAAATTTTCATTTTAAAACAAGTGAAAGAATTTCAAATGAAAATTGTAAAATTATAATTCATGTTGCTAACTCCTTTTATAAATACATCAAGATAATCCACTCTGAACTATTTCGAAGCAATAACAATTATTATTATGCATAGGTGTAAACATTATAATTTATCATCTCGAATAAAAACATAAATGAAAAAAATTTAAACCAATAAAAAATCAGTACCTATGCTAACAATATATTTCTAAAGCTGATGATTGCTGTTGTACCATCAACTATTTTCGAATATAACTTCCTGAATCCAAAATTTTCAAGCTGCAAGAAATACATCAGAATACGACGATAGTTTTCGTTGTCTTCACCAATCCAAAATCTAGAAGCAAAATGAAAGCAAAGTTATCAGAAGCTATAAATTGTTTCTATTGCTATCACTATTCGGAAAACAATTCCAAAGCCTTAAAAAATCACTAATTTTATAACATCTTGAAAATTTTACCGAACTCTGAGATCTACGTCGAGGACAATATTTTTGAATCGAACTGTCTCTAGTAAAGCAGGAAGAATATCCCATTCTCCACCATTAAGATCCATAATAAATTTATCTATTCGATGTTCATTAATGTCAAATATATCTGATAAAGTTATCAAAAGCCATGCATTATTATCACTGCCATCAGGAACTGTACAATTTTTGAAAAATATGGTGAAATGCCATAAGGATATACATTTTGAGTTGAAATCAATCTAAAATAAACAACTATTAAACACGCCTAATTTGTAAAGAATAGACTAAAGTGTTAATCTTTTAACTGTAATAACAACATCAATAAAAGTTTACCTTTTATTTGACTCTACTGGTGAGAAAAAATGCACTTTACAAGGAAGAAAATGCTCGAAATTCTCCATTACTTCAAATCCACGATAACTAAAACACAGCATCCAGAAATTACTAATTATAAGTCATTAATTTTACTACAAACTACAAAGAAATTATCAATTATAATGTATAATCACATATAAATAAATAATAAAAAACTTAGAACGTATACCTCACATACACTATAGTACATTTTTCCGTTACATTTAGTTTACATAGCAAAGGTATGCCATTTTTAATCTCCGACACTTTATTACATTCCATATTTTCCTTTCTAAATGTTGTCAGATACTTCATAAGTCGCTTCTTTTCTTCCATTGGCGAACCTAAATAATATATTTTTTAATGTCTATTAATAATTAAATATATTACCTGAAGCGAATAACTCTTAACATGCATAATTCTACTATCGCTGATCAAATTGCTAAAACACTACTATTGACACATGTTATTCTCACAATATAATTTCTCACAGTTAGATAAGTCATATCTGTAATATGTGAAAAAAAAAAAAATGTAAATTACAATACTAATTTCTGCATCTCTTTTTAAGTATATTTAATGATTATTAACCAAAGCCAAAAATAGGCAAATCCACTTGATGATGCTCCTTTTTTATGAAACTGAGTCGATAATAGCAATTATGAGTCGCTCGATCACAGGCAGAATTTGTTTCGGCTCCAATAAGGGCATAATGATATTTGAAGTACATCTGATATAATAATAAATACCAATCATATAACAAATTTTCCATATTTTTTCCAATTTCGATGGTCAGGTGTAGCTGGTCTGATTGCAAAACCTGCAATAATCATTACGACTTAAAATCGTAATTTCAAATAGCACAAAGTTGCTGTAACTTCGAATAAAAAAAAAAAAAAAACTCAAATAAAAGATTGGTGAAGACCTTCAAAACTTGTTCCATTAGCTTCGGTGCATCACGAAGTTTTTGCAGTCGTGTCATTCTCAATTCTCCATTCTGAATGGGTGTATAAAAGTTGACAAATGCGATATCAAATTGCCTATGTAATAATTCACCAAATATATCATCGAAATCCCAAATACCATTATCGTTTAGATCGAAAAGATAATGCATTTCCGCATCTACAACGTATGTGATTAATTAAATTTTTATTTTGCTCTCATCTAGATAATCAATCGTAAAGTAGATAACAAAGTAATTTATCAAAACTTGCCGACGTTTCCTAAATTGTCAAGTGCTTTGAATCCTTCAGGAACAAAAAATGTCCATCGTTCTGGAATCACTGCAGTCAAATAAAAGCAAAATCATCTGGAGAACCACTAATGAACAAAGCATTGCTGAAATATGAGAGACACATGAACCTAAATTCTCCTTGGATAGCAAAGTTTGAGCTGCTATATTTGATGACACCGAACAAGACTTGATAAATAAATCTTAATTGGTAACTTTATTGCTTTTTGATTTCATTGGCCAAACATAAAATTCAAAGAATACATTGCGCTATATCTTAATAATCTACCATTCAGTTGCTAATATTTCAAATACTCGAAACTTGCCACTAAATCATTTCCAAGCAAATGACGAAATCAATATATATATATATATAATCACCAAGATGATTACTGCTGAAAATTGCATACCGTATTGTCTTGTTCAATCTTCCATCTGTACAAATCGTAAAAGCTCCTTTACTGTCACCAACAGTGATACCTTCCTCACATTTGTATTGTTTATGAGCTAATAATTCGTTAAGTCGTAACACTTCGGCTATCGTATCATTGAGTTTTGGTGGTGAGAATATATCCACATCTTTCCAGGCCAGTAGCGATACATTGTTCTTCGATATAATGCTATAAATATAAATGATTACTATAAATATAAATGATTACGCATTGGATAAACTTTGTTAAATATAATCCGAAATATTGCAAATATTGAAATAAACTTAATATGATGCTTAAATGATTTCTAATTTATCAATTCAACTAAAAAAATCTTGCAAATTGGTAAATATATAATATCAAAGATAAATCATTCACTTAAATTAATATACAATTAAATTTTCAAATAACAAACCTTTCATAGGAAAATTTCGCATTTATTGAATCAATCGATAACCAGATCAAATCATATATTACATCCAGATCATTCACTATGAATATAATTGTACATACTGTTATCAGTCTTAACATCAATAATCCATTGATATAACGCATACCTAATTTCTCGATATCATTTAATACTTAAATTTTAGCATCCACCGTCTAACGAAATAGCAACAGATCGGTATTATCATTGGCGGTATTTAGCTGAAATAATAATAGTAAAAGGTCAAAAGTTAATACTAATAAGTTTAAAATTACTAATGAAAATTGGAGAGGGTCAAAGGTCATACAGAAGTTGTAAAAAAAAAAAAGAGAGAGAATATATTTGAGAAAGAAGTGAGAAAATTTTTTTGAAAATTTTTGTTCGTTCATATTTTGTTACATAAATTAATGGATTAATTAATTGGACTAATTGATTTTGGATTCTTTTGAATTATTTCAAATATAATTTACAGTAAAAAAATGAATTTGATTAATTTTAATAATGATTAGAAATAGAAAATTATTAATATTAATAATAGTTTATACTTGTAGGGAATAATTCTCTCGAAATATACTTTTTAAGTACAAATATATTGATGAATTATTAGAATATTTTTGTTTCTTTTTTTTTTCATACTTTCTTTGTTTTTTTCGTTTTTTTTTAGCAAAAATATTCTTCATTGTAGAATTTTCCCATTCACATCTGAAGCATACAGGAAAATATAGCCAAATTAAATAAAAATAAAAAAAAAAGGAAAGGAAAGGAAAGTAAGTAATTTGAATAATGAAGCAAATACTACTACCCGTTTTCTAATAATTTCAAAATAGTTATCGTCGTGATTTGGCATAATTATTCAGTGCAATTATTGATTGATTAATTATTGATTGATTGATTGGTTGATTGATACTAATAAGAAAACATAGCCAAATTAAATAAAAAATAAAAAAAAAAGGAAAGGAAAGTAAGTGATTTGAATAATGAAGCAAATACTACTACCCGTTTTCTAATAATTTCAAAATAATTATCGCCGTGATTTGGCATAATTATTCAGTGTAATTATTGATTGATTGATTATTGATTGATTGATTGATTGGTTGATTAGTTGATACTAATAAAGTAAATATGGATTTTCGCATAACCAGGAATATAGGTGTGAAAATTTTTTTAGGACTTTTTCTTTCTTTCTTCCTTAGGGTCATATGTTCGAAATATAACTTTGAAGAATTGCCTATTTCTTTTTTTTTTTTTCTTTTCAAATCATTCTGAAAGAAAAAAAAACACAGATAACACTTAACTAGATAATATCACTTATTAATTGAAGTAAAATATAAGGTGACATTTGGTGAATGATTAATTAATACTGATAATGGTAAATGATTTAATTAATTAATTAATTAATTAATTTATACTGATAGACATGGTATTATTAATTGATTTACATATAATTAATTAATTAATTAATTAACATATTATATCATATCATATAGAACAAATGACATTTGGTGATTGATTAATTGATACTGATAACATGATTTAATTAATTGTAATTAATTAACATATTATATCATATCATATAGATGACATTTGGTGATTGATTAATACTGATAATACATGATTTAATTAATTAATTAATTAATTATATATTATATCATATCATATAGAACAAATGACATTTGGTGATTGATTAATTGATACTGATAATGGTACATGATTTAATTAATTAATTAATTAACATATTATATATCATATCATATAGAACAAATGACATTTGGTGATTGATTAATTGATACTGATAATGGTACATGATTTAATTAATTAATTAATTAATTATTATATATCATATAACATACATTATTATTGATACATAATCACATGATTTAATTAATTAATTAATTAATATATTATATCATATCATATAGAACAAATGACATTGGTGATTGATTAATTGATACTGATAATGGTACATGATTTAATTAATTAATTAATTAATTAACATATTATATATCATATCATATAGAACAAATGACATTTGGTGATTGATTAATTGATACTGATAATGGTATATGATTTAATTAATTAATTAATTAATTAATTAATCATATCATATAGAACAAATGACATTTGGTGATTATATACTGATAATCAATGAAATTAATTAATTAATTAAATATTACAATATAGAACTATATTATTAATACTAATTGCAATAATTAATTAATTAATTAAACATAAAATAATATAGAAAAATTATATTTAAATACAATATAGCTATATCAATACTAATTGCAAATAATTGACAAAAAAAATAAAAAATGAAAATTGAAAAGGAAGAACTTTGAAAGAAATAAAAAAGTAAGTATTATAAAATAATGAGTAAAAGTTATATCGTTTTATTGCAATGACAACAATAAATGTAACTAAAATTTTATTTTAAATCATATTACATTACAGAATAATTATTTAAAAATAATTCAATGAACCAAATTCATTTTCTATTTACTGTAATTCTGAAATATGTCAATTAAAAATTTCAATGAATGCAACAAGAATAATACGATTAAATAAAAGTGAAAAAAAAATAAATAAATAAATAAGTGCTTAACTAGGAAAAAAATTAGCTAACTATTAATCAAAAGAAAACTGCTAATCAGGAAAAAGAACTATTAACTATTAATCATTCAAAAATTGTTAATAATCTAATCTGAAATGATTATAGATATTCGAAATCTGAAATAATATAAGATAATCTGAAATCTGAAATGATAATCTAATCTGAAATGATAAAAGATAATATTCGAAAGACAACATATAAAAGATTAAAATGAAAGCAACGAGTAAAAATGAAAATTAGGTAAAATATCTGATCTGAAATGATATAAGATAATCTGAAATCTGAAATAATAATAAGATAATATTAATCGAAATCTGAAATGATAATCTAATAAATGATATAAATAATGAAAGCAACGATAAAGATTAAAATAGCAAGAGTAAAAATAAAAATTAAAATATTAATTAATAATTAATTTTACATAAAATAATTATAAATGCTGTGTAAATACATATTCGACATTATTTTGTTCTTTGCAAATATTCTTCTTTTGTTTTATTTGTTGAGCATTAGCGAATAATACTGCATCATGAATGGATGGAAAGAAATTTGTTGATGGAATCATTTCATAGATATTACATTTGGCAAATAATATTCGAACTTCTGCTAAAAAAACTATTAATAATCAAATGAAACTGCTAATTAGGAAAAGAAAAGAACTATTAACTATTAATCATTGAAAAATTGTTAATAATCTGAAATGATATAAGATAATCAAAATTGAAATGATATAAGATAATCTGAAATGATATAAGATAATCTGAAATCTGATATGATAATCTGAAATCTGAAATGATAATCTAATCTGAAATCTGAAATGATAATCTAATCTGAAATGATATAAGATAATCTGAAATCTGAAATGATATAAGAAATATATAAGATAATCTGAAATCTGAAATGATAATCTAATCTGAAATGATATAAGATAATATTCGAAAGACATTCATATAAAAGATTAAAATGAAGGCAACGGGTAAAGATGAAAGATAGGTAAAATATTAATTAATAATTAACTTTACCTCTTATTAACTCTAATAACTTTCTATTAACTTTAACCTTAACCTTATTAACTCTATTAACTAAATCTATTAACTTTACATAAATCTATTATAAATGTTCATTATTTAAATGAAAGGATTAATTTTTAATTCATAAATGTTATAATATTTTTCATAGATATTAATTTAAATAATATTTTTGTAAAAAAAAACAAAAAAATTAAAAAATTTCTTTTCATATATATATATCATGCAACAAACATATTTACTTTTTATTATTTTCTAGGGTAAATTTAAAGGGTAAATTTAAACTAGGGTAAATTTAAAGGGTAAATTTTACATATAAATGAAATGATTAATTTTTCAATTCATAAATTTTATAATATTTTGAACCTTTTGAGGCAGCCATAAATATTTCAACATTACGATTTTTCAATTCCTGCGATAAATCCTTCAATCTTTCAATTCCGGTATAATCGATGCATGTAAATCCCGAAGCATCAATGATCAGATAAAGTGTTTCGTTTTCATTTAACATTTTCTGTAATTTTTTTTTCAAACTGTTTTCAATAAAAAAAAATTCATTGATATGATCATTTCATGATCAATTCAGTGACACATGACACTTAGATATGATAAGAAATTGTTTGATGAAAATGATAATTAACCATTTTATCAGACACATAACACTTAGATGTGATAAGAAATTGTTTGATGATGATGATAACATAATCATATCATCAACTTTTCAATAAAAAAAAAAAAAAAAAAATGATCATTAACACATTTTATTAACACATGACACTTAGATCTGATAAGAAATTGTTTGATGAAAATGATAATTAACCATTTTATCATCAACTTTTCAATAAAAAAAAAATCACTGATATGATCATTTCATGATCAATTCAGTGACACCATGACACTTAGATATGATAAGAAATGTTAATGAAAATTTTATGATAACCATATCAACTTTTTATAAAAAAATCATTATTGAAAAATATGATCATTTCATAAATCAATCATTGTGATACCAATGACACTGAAGAATTTGATAAGAAATGATAACTAAATCCTTTTTCATGATTAAATAAATTTTCACATTTATAAAAAATCTAAAAATCAAAATAGCTAAAAAATCATTATCTAAACATTTTCTAAAGTCATATAATAAATATTGATTTTAAATTAATTGAAGGCTAAATCAAGTTTCATGATTAAATCATAATTTTCACATATATAATTTCAATATCTAAAAACATTTTTAAAGTCGATATAATAATATTGATTTTAAACAATAATAAATGTAAACAAGACTAATTTTAAATCATAATTTTCACATATATATTTCAATATCTAAAAACAATTTTCTAAAGTCGATATAATAAATATTGATTTTAAACAATAATAAATGTAAACAAGACTAATTTTAAATCATAATTTTCACATATATAATTTCAATATCTAAAAACATTTTCTAAAGTCGATATAATAAATATTGATTTTAAAGAAT